ACTTTAGTCAGTACGCCGGTCCCTTAGTGTAGTTTTGTACGAGAAATCTTCACTAACGAAAGATCTCAGTAATCAGTAAACGACGCAGGATGCTGCAGTAAGAAATCCGAAGTAATTCGAATAATAAGTAGAACTACTAATAGAGGTTATAACGAACTACACAAACACCAACCCAAATATATTGTTAGTTACTCTAGCGCTATCGTATGACTAAGTATGATTTATTACAATAAATCTTCTCTTTAATACCAAGTACGTATCAGTATTTATTAAATATTGTCAGTTGGTTGATATGTTATCTAAGATTTGAAATTAAATACGTCAATGTAAAGCAATAAATGCATTATGATCCGCTTACATTCATACATCACGCACAATCACACGCATTGTCTAAGACAATGCTTTTGAAAAAACTGTACCATACTTCGCATTGTGGCGGTTAAATAAAACCGCAAACTTCTTAGAGCACGATTTAGAGCAACTTATACTAAATGTTTACAAGTAAATTGTATTCGTGGATGCAGCAGTGATCACGCCGAAGCGTTTTTTTAAATAAATACCAGTAATCTTTGCTGTTTTGTTTTTGTTCCTCTCTAATTCTTTACGACCGCCATTAATGCATAGTACCGATTATTATTGTCTCTTATCATAAGACGTGATTAACATACTGCTTACATACAATATCTGTCCCGCGGTCACGCTCGCCGCGCGTGCTGCAAGGATCAGCATTGTCACGCAAACACAAAAATGTTCCACACCTTTTTGTATAATTAATTATTTTTTAAAAGAGTCTAAGATATATTCATACGCGATTGATTGATAAGGTTGTTACAAACAAAAACGATACCAATTTATTTTTTAATTAAACGGAAAATAATTTAATTTACATAATCGATTTATCTTGATAGTAGAGTACCTAATCTAATTTCCGGCTTACAGGTTAATCCTAATTACATTGCACTGACAGCTGTCAAAATGAGCTTATTGACAATTATGTAAGTTGTAATTGTGTAATATTATATCGCTACATGCACCTAGCAGTGTTTTGATTAATGTATAACTTTGTAGATAATGAGTAATAATGGCTATGGTTGAGAAAATAACGAGGACACTGTTTTTTTTAAACCCATTTTGTTTTTTCACGCAACGTGACTAACAATTAGGTTTAAGGGATTGAGATAGCAGGTGTAGTCGAGGAGTCGGACCCTATTATACGTAATGACGATGAGTAAACATTTTAGAGAAAAGCGCTCCTGTTAGTATATCCGAGCCAATTAGACGTGTTAGGGAGGTGGCGAGCGCCCCACGCCCCGCCCGCGCCCCGCGCACATCCCCCCGGGCTCCAATTAAACTCGCGCTCGCTACAGACGATGTACTATCGCCACCGGAACCCACCTAAACGTTATTGTGCAAACCACTTCTAAATAAACCTCCATTTTTTACATTGCCGCGTATAACAATGGAATCATGTCAGACGATGCGAGAACCCCCTCCCTTGCCGTACGTTCTCTGAAACTATTGAGTTGTTAATTAAATTCACGCAAATTTATTGCCTCCTCCAAAGCGAGATATTCTCGCCGCTATCGCTACGGAATAGAGGCGAATTTTCTACAAAGCATGCAAAGTTATCTGAATCAATGTTACTTGTTGTTTAATTACAACAATAGTGGCCCCTAATGAGAGTTTGCGCTAATAAGCGCTGCAGAATGTAATCAACGTGCCTCGTTGGTCTAATGAGGCGAGTTCCAGGCAAAAACTAGAAAACTCTGCGTTATACTGAAGATTAATTAGGTGTTCTGCCTATAAAGAGACGGTACCGGAAATCTTGCTTCTGTCTCGACATAGATTAACATATTTCTTATATGGTGCTCGCTGGAAAAAACATTCCCTATGCGAACGTCATGTACCGCTTGCCGCTCGCGTCTTGAGAATCGAGCGGTCGGGCGCCAACGATCCTCATTCAAACAACTCCTATTGACAACGGGCCACGCGGACTCGTAAGCGTCGTTAACTTAAATAAGCACGTTTGATTACGTCGTAGCTAGCTACCCCATTAAAACTTAACGAGGGCCAACCCCGGGGAAAATAACTAACCCAATTTCCCTTTGCCGGGGAAATCATTAAAAGTCTTAAAAGGGTCTTTTCATATATTTTTTAACCCGAGGCGTACGTGCAAATAAACACATTTTTACATACTCGAACAAACAATTCTCGTAACGAGGCGGGAGGGTAACGAGCGGAGGTGTCCGGCGCTCGCCGCCGCCGCGCCGCGCCGCGCTAATTGGAAGGATATGCCCGGAAATGTGTCTCGTTACGTAGCCCGCCCGCCCGGGCCTTCCCGGCCTGGCCCGGCTCACCGCCGACACCTCTGATTTATTGCGGCTTATACATTCAAATTGACAGCGTCGAAACGCGCCGCGAAACGCTATCACGATCTAATGCGACCTAATGCCGACCGCGCGATAAACAATGCGCCTCCTAGTGGCAGCGGAATTCGTGCTTCGTGCGCACTGGTGACCTTTACTTTAGTGAAAATAGTTACCGGTGCAAACAACGTTCGTGCAGATACAATAAATACGCTAGCTAATAAATAAATGTTTATCTTAATTATAATTGTTGTTTTTCCTATAATAATAAGCACTAAATGAAATCAATTATGCTTGTTGGAAAAATATTAACTGCTTATGATGTGGACAGCCCGAAGCGATCATAAAATTATAGGTAGCAATCAAAGTTAACTACTAGAAAATAACTTCGGAAGCATTTGATTGATTAATATCAAATTAAATTGCACTACCTTCAAATAGTAATAGAGTATCTTTATTGATCAATAAACCGCGCGCGCTTTCGGTAATTAAATTAATTACAAGATTTGCCAATTAGCTGAAATGTTTACGTTCACTGTTTTAATTAATGAATGTGTGTCGTATTAGTTTCGGATACAATCAGATTCGAGGCCCGACGGTAATTACCGACGTCTACAAAATCCATCGAATTCAACGTAATCGCTGAGAATATTACGGCACTGAACTTAATTGTTCCCGACTTAATTAATTAAGCTTTTGTTTGAAACTAACAGCGAAGTGTAGAGTTGGCAATTCTAAATTGGATCTTGTAATTACCTTACCCTCCCCCTACCCCTTGTACAGACACTGTCTACTTTCAATTATGGGCGAAGCTTAGTTAATAGAATCAATTATAATTGGGAGAGACAATGCGAAGCCTGTTCTCATACCTTAATTGTGAAACGTTAATTAGTTTGCTCTGCGAATATAGCACGTATTGAAACGAGATTAAGAGCTAATTTACAACTAAAGATCGTAACATGCTATTGTGATATAATTAACTATAGACTTAATTTTGTTCATTATTTCTTTTGAATTTCAGCAGAAATTAATTTTGATATTTAGGGGTACATCGGTAGAGGTAGACCTAGAAAGAGATGGATGGATTGCGTAAAAGGTGACATGATCAAGAAGGGAGTGATGACTGAGATGACGGATGATAGAATGCTTTGGAGGACGAAAACCCGGTGCGCCGACCCTACGGGAGTAGGATAAGGCAGGGGAGATGATGATGATTAAAATCGAAGCTACATTATTTTATTTACAAGTACGTCTCATACTACTATATTTTTAAATCGTGTAACGCACAATTAGTTACTTCTTTTTAAAATATCCGAGAATCGCCATTGTAAAAATATTTCTATATTAAAAAAGGTGTTTGAATCGCGAACATGAAACATGTCTCCTGATTATTTTCTATTCTACGTAGAAATTAAAAGTTATTAATAATCATATATCATCACTTAATTATATTTTTCTTTCTGACGCATTTCAAGATATCACCAGCCTGTTATTATTTTGTTTATACGTTGCCACGATAAGAAAATCCCAGTACAGTTTTAATTAAAAGTGCTTATCTTCAATTGCTTAATTACGTGCCATATTAAATAAACTTAGAGGCCACGTGATGACTTTTTAAAGGGGAACAACGACCTCATAACGTTTAATTAATCGTGACTATAATAGTTAATTACATTATTTACTTGTTCAGAATATTACACACTTTTAATGATATTAATATTGTACTGAATAAATAGAAGAAAAATCATCTAAAAAAAATTTAAATACATACCTATTATACGAAATTAAAAAATGAAAATGCAATAGATTATATTTTAGGAATTATTTCATGTGTCATTTTTAATCATCTACAAAAAAGATTATCAAAACGTTTGTATTTTCTTTAATGTCTTTATTACCTAACTAACTAACTATTATTTTATTGAAAAAAAAAGTATTACAATACAGTGCTCCCTGTAATATTTGTTTAAATAAATAAAAGTCGTAAGTCGTCGTCGTAATAAACTCATTAAAATCTACAAAACAGTACACATAAGTTTTCCATAATGTATTAGGTTAGTTCAAGTTTGGCGTCTGTACGTCGTTAGTGAGGACAAAGTACATAATTATCGATAAATTTGTGAGCCGCAGACGGACGCCTTCAAGACCCCTGACTTTAATTAAGACACAATAATTAAAATAACAAGCGAGCGCGGTAACTCATTATGCGGAATCGTGTGACCGCATACGATGTCGCTAATACACAACACTACATGAACAACTTTGTAACTTTAAAAAAAAATAAAAGGTACTCTTGTCAGTAATTTTACTGGATTTTTTATGAAGGTATTTAAATTTTTTATTAATTGTAACCAAAGAGTTATGATTGTTGCAAATTAAACTCTTGTTTTAAAAGTGTATAACAATTATGTTTAGAAATTTTGTCATGACTACGATACAATAATAAAAAATAAACTATAAGACTAACGCATTTTAAAAACATTTCGTGACAAAATAGTATTATACAATAAAAAGGATAACAGAACTATAAATAAAAAAATTAAAATAAACAATCAAAAAGAATTAATATTTGTAGCTTTACTTATTTATAAAGTTTATTTACGCTTGTAATTGAAAATATATGAAATAACTTACCCCTTAAAGGAAAACTCCTTGACGTCCAAGACAAACACTAGAGATAAATCTTTCAGACAACTTTGTCTTTTACACTTACACAGAAATGTTTTTAAAGGGCACACAACTAAATTTCCTTGTCCACTTCAATTGTCACTTTCAGCAGAATTTACGGCTGTAATCGTTTCCAAATAACAACAGAATTAACAATGCTGTTTTATTGATTGAATAAAACTGAAATAAATTCTCTAATCTGATTAAATTAAAGAATAAATATTTTGTGAATGATTTCATACGATGAAACCTTTCAGTCTATGAAAAGATGTTTAAATCGAGTAAAGTTTGCGTATCCAAGAGACAGCGAGAACGCGTGCACACCGAGTGGAAGCTCGCGACGGAATGAGCCGACAAGCGGCGAATGCAGCCGCGCCGCCAGGAGCAGAGGGCGGGCGCCCGAACACGGGGTGGAACGGAACAACACTCTAATATAATGATGGGCTCGGAACACTAATGCTCTAATTGGAAAAGTACTTGCGCTATAGTTATTAGAAAAAAAATTAATCTTCAAATTGGCCGCGCTTCGACGAATCTGCTATCGGAATCGATCAAAATTATGTGAGAATCGATAACAAAGGCGATCGGTTCTGTGTCACGTAACACAACATAGGTAAGAAATATCACAAACTTTTTTCCGGTACTGGATTCCGGCCTAAATTCAATTTCGCCCCTTTCCTCCGCACCCCTTTCGAAAACCAATCTTCTTTACATTCCCTCGCCGACAAATTTATATTCCTCCATGCGTCCTCCCCGCTGGGAGCGGACCATTCGGCTGGACCGCAGTTGTGGTAGTTCCGTGCATGCGTTGCAAACCACTGACTTATGAATGGTAACGCGCGGTCAACGGATTAGGAAAGAATCGCGAGCCGCGCGATGCGATGATCATGCACCGACGTCGAGAATTTAATTTGCAGAGTCCGCCCCCCGGCCCCCGACGCCATTGTCCGCTCAGTATTTCATTACGGCTGGAGCTTTTCTATTAATAAATCACTCTTCGCCTGCGCCGTTTAATTACGCGCCGGATCTGGCCGAGGCCGACGTCTGATTACACTTTCATCGAACATCTAATTAGGAGTGCAGGCGGTGGGGAGCGGCGGCAGGAGTGCAAGGGAACGTATGTATTCTTTGTTCTGCAGATATTACGGCCGGCCGCTATTGCTGCGCGCCCGCCTGCCGACCAAAGTTCGGAATGAACGAACTTTGATTAAAACCGACCGCCTACATTACTCCAGACTTAAAACCATCCTCGTTTTATTACTGAAACAAAACCTCTTTAAATTTTAAAATTAAATTAAATGCCATTAAAATAAAATGTTACAGCTTAATTCAATATACTGTCATAATATAATTAAACAATGGATACCGCTGTCATACTAAAAGAAAGTAATGTTCACTGTTTATTTCAAAGACAGAAATGGATACACAATGTTATCGCTCACCTAAGTACTTAAAAAAAGTAATTTATTTTGATATTTCCATATAGTTAGTACAAATGAAATTCATATAGGTTTCTATAAAGGTATCATTTTAATTCAATTCCAAATCTGATTAAATCAGAACTGTATCTGCAATAAATCAACGTGAACGTTATTAAAATCAGTGATCATAATTTATTGGTAGATAGCATAGATAGTGTAGTTTATAGTTCGGACGGAATCCATTTGCCGCGTGGCCGCGTATTGTCGACAACCCTACATTGTTGCTAAACCCCATTAATGGAACCCTAATGGCGTTTCCTTTTGAAGGACAAGCGCAATAATTAGTGGTTTTCAAAACCGAGTGCCGTGACGACATAACAGATTCCATCAGCCCATCTCAACTCCGTCTCAAGGGTATATAAGGCAACTGTTGTTGATATATGCTTTCTAGTTATAATTCTCTAACTTCAACAATAACTATAAGTTTAGTTTAATGTGTACATTAGTAATCACTCAGTGGAAAATTTCTATAGCATTAAATCCTTTAATGAAAATGTGTAAACGTCAAATCCTGCGTCCAACAGCATTTCCATTTACTGGAACAATTAAGAACGTCCTGAATTTCAATACCGTTACAGAACTTATCGGTCTGTTTTCTGTTGGTTGTATTGATGAAAACAAACATGGTGAAGCCAAAGATCTATTGAAGTGAGAAAGTGAGTCGAGTGCGGCTAGCGACTGAGTTGGTCGTTTCGCCTTACCGACTCAAGACCTTTTTTAATTTCCTGGAGCGGGCGGCGAGCGCCGGGCGCGGACTTGGGAGCGCGGGAAGCGGGCAGCGGGCCCGTTTAACTTATTGCCACGGTTAACGAGAATACGCCGCTGTGTGCCGGCGAAATTGAAGGATTTACTTCGCGTCCCTCCTTTATTAAACGTATTGCACACACAGACGCCCCGTGTGTGCGTGCCCAACTACACGCATGTCGAAATTACATTTCACATGACTCGTAATAACAAGGGTGGGCGTAAATCACAGGCATTATTAGTTTCTCCCGTTACCCGCGCCATTTGTCACCTACGAAAAGGTGTTGTACATACATCATTAAAAAGGATATCATTAATTACCTCTCAACGTTTGAACTAATAATCTTTAACATAACTTAATAGTCATATGATATGATGCTAACCATTCCTTTATGTTTACAACACTTTGTACAAAAGAAAGAACATCTAGCCTTTTGTCAACCGACGTATTTATCCAGGAACAATTGTATCAAAATCAATAATGTCTTATCGAATAACGGAAAGAAGAAACAAACAAGCAATAGTACAATATAAACAGTATTACAGGGTGTAAGCAGGCCCGCAGTGCGGGGGCGCGGCGCGGCGGACTTCCTGCAAGCTAAGCGTATCGCTTAAAGTTTCGCAATATACGCGCACAGAGCCCGTCCTTTATTAAAAACTATTCTCACATTTTTAATTAAAACTTGTGTTCCCCCACTAAAACTTTATTTAAGCAATAAAGGCTGTGCAATTAGCGGCTCTGTCCCCGCCGGCGACTTTACCTACTTTTCCTCGGCTTTAATGAGTGTTTTTTAATAAAGCCCGAGACTGCTGCAAGTTTATTAATTTAGTTTAACTCGTGTCACGCGGATCTCCACCGCTACCCGCTACCCGCCACCCGCCACCCGCGCACGCTATACTCACACTTTTTATTATATCCTTAATCACTTCAGCTTACACGTAAAACCATTTAATTAAGCCAACATAAAATGTCGTTATGTGACATTGCAATCCCACTAAAATTCTTGCCATATTGAAAATAAACTGAATATAATCACAAAATAATCGAGTGTGGCAATAAATACGCAATCTACATATAACCAATTTAAATGCGTGACCTGTTTACATTTACATATGAGGGAAAAAGAGAAAATGAGTCAATTTTGAAACTCGATTAAACATTTCTGATTTAACCGACAGTAGTAGAACCTGTTGTTAATAATTTCCTTTAAAATTTAAATGGCAATGAGACTCGATCAAAAATGAGCGCTCGACAGTTTTGAGAAATTTCAAATAATTGCTTTTAAATTATAAATGAGGAGAAACTTAATAAGACACAAAATGTATTTTTAACAGTAAATGGTCATGTTAAAAAGGTTATGCAGTTATATTTAAATTTGAAGCTATTTTGGGAGTAAATTTGAACAGTAACGGGACTTATTGTATGATTGCAAAAAACGTCTAACATAAGAACGATGTAATAATTATCAGAAGTCCTTTATTCATTCAATTAAATTAGTAGTTTATGGTCAATTCCATCCGAATGCTGAAATCAATACAATTAAAAAGTTTATAGGCACATTATGAGAGCGAAGTGAAGATCGTTGTTGAAGTGCGGAGCAAAAGCTTGACGTGGGGAGCGGTTGCAGATGGGCTCCGCCAAGTGTTCCGGCCATAATTACATTCCCGTGTCTAACAAATGGAGAATCGGTGTTGATTTGTGTTTAGCGAAGCCCACGCAACCCGAGCCCGCTGTCCCGCTCTGAGCCGGGACTCCGCCGCCGCCGGCCTTCGACAGAATTAGTTAAGACATTGTTAGCTCTGCTCTGACCCGATGAGCTCTTTATTGGAATCGTCCGACGAATATTTTATTAATTTGCTTCTGTGCAGTCTGAGATCGAAAATAAGTTTATTTCGATTACAACTTGTAATTACACCATTAGGTACATTCATTTTTATTGTATTACAATTAAGTATGTTTACTTAATTACTTACTTAGGAACTTAAAGAAAACATTGTAAACTATGACATCTGGTGCTATTATTATATGTGACTACTATTTACAACTTTCATTATGATCAAAACATAATCCTCGAATGTCACACACTGCAATAGAAAAAGCATTTTCCAAATGCGTTTTATAAAAGGCTAAATTGGCGCATATAGCTGGGGTCAGTAATTGCTCGCATATAAACTAAGTGTAAAACGAAGCACTCGACTGGTCGGCCTAAAAGCTTCGCGGCAGATTGAATCACCACACGGATTTTCCATTACCGCTGCTTTTCGCGTGCGCGCTATACCTTTACTATACTGATCGCTGACTATAGCAGGATCAACTTTATTTATTGTATTTAACATTTTCAGACAATATATGAGTTTAGAAATTGCTCAATTTTGATTTGCATATAATTGAACTAAAGTCTCAGTGTCCAAACGAACCAAAACACATTAATATCCAGTGAGTAACACTTCCAGAAGCTTATTAAATAGCACATCGGAGGCTCATAGAGACGGGCAATAAAAAGAAGACGGCGCCGGCGACTAGCAAGCAAGCGACTACTAAGTATCAGTTTCACGGCTGTAGCATCGTTTGCGCAATGGTTCACACGAAACTAGCGAGGAGTCGTTAGACCGGTCGTATATCCTCGGATAAACGCGAATATTGGCCCCGCTAACAATGCGCGTCTTTATAAGTTTTTAACGAGCTCGGACGGTATAAATTATGTGTGCGGCTGCGGCTG